TTCCTCTACGACGTGTGTACTAACAGGGTCTAGAAAGGTCATGTCATTTTTCAAAGTCTGAACCTTGTCAGTAAAATTTAACTTTCCAAAGGCTGAATGCTGTTAATGAAATCTACCCTTCCTGAATCTGATTCTTGCTTGCGATGATCTTTCTTGTATTACATAACAAATAGTGCATCATTCTTTCTTAATTTAAAATTAATATTTATCCGCCCTGCCAATCACACGGTACGTTTAGTTCTTCCGCTTCTACTTCCGACTCCGACAATACACATTTGGTAACGTCAAGGCGCATGAAAAAGGAAAAAGGGTTTCACTTCCGGTTGACATGCGCAGCTCAAAAACTCTTTGCTTAAGCTCTCTAATAAATTAAAACTGACGACGTAGCTTGATGGCAGCCATTTAACCATTATTTGGCCCGTTTTTGTAAAACTGTTTTCGAGAAAAGTTTTCCGTCACAATGAGAACATTGAAAACTAAACGTGATGGAGAAAAAAAAAAAGCGAAACCAAATATTGGGATTTCTTTCAAAACACACTTCAAAACTGCCGTCTTCAAAGACTTGCTATATTTTTCAGACAACCATAGAAATGGAGAATGTTGTCGACTGCCAATTGATGGAAGAAAAAAGCAATGGAAAATCTCTGTTTAGAGTAATTTACTTCAGCCACAACGCCCGTGACTTCAAGCACTACGACTTTGAAGCAGAATCCGACATGTCTGGTAAGTATTGCGGTGCCTTTCTGGGTTGATCCTTTGTGAAGCATTGTATAGGTACACCACTGTCCGTGCTGTATTTACGCCCCTTGCATGGTTAATAAATTAAACACTCACAAAGTCATTTGTCTTTTTTAAAAAGTCTAAGAAATAAAGGATGCAATTCAAAAGTTCAGCCGAAGAGGTTTCATTTGAATGGCAACATCATAGGATTTTATCCACAGGTAGAGAAGTTCATCCCTCGCGATAACTTGGTTTAGATTGCAAAACCCGCTCTGGATTGGTTACTTTTAAACCTTTGATTACATAAAGCACCTTCTGATTGGAGTGGCCATAAGTTTTTAAGTAATAATAATAATAACGTGTTTATACTGGATGACCATTTCAGTTATAAAAACTGCTATCAATATGGGTCCTGTATAAAAATAAATGAATAAATAGGTAAAAACTTAATTATATACGAAACTGGGATACATTACATAATTGTAATCAATACCAAAAGGTAGCCTCCTTATGAACAAAGGCCCTCTTAATCAACTCGAGATTGACTTTAACCCTTTAAGCCCCAGTATCCACATACAAATTCTCCAAACTAATCTCCATACATTTCCTTAAAGAATGAGTTGAGAGAATTTGATAAAAGATCAAGGCATTTTTACTTGGGTGATGATTTTATTAATTCTCATAACTTATCTGTTGACAATGTATGGATATTGTTAGGAGAAAATTGATCTTGGTCATTTTTGGGACTTAAACGGTTAACAACAGATAACCTATCCTTAGACCTAGTGTCATAGTCATGAATATCATAAGTTCGCCATCAAGAATAATCTGAGAAATAACTTGGAGCTTGTTCATCAAGACAATTCTTGACAAGTTTGACGATATGTTTCTTTCTTCTCGTCTTAAGAGGGTCCCAACCAAGACCGGAAGCCATATCTTCAGTGGACAACTGCGCTGTCTTTAACACTATCCTAGCAGCGGATTTCAGTAGTGTTTGTTGCAGTCAGCGAAATCTCTGGTCTCGAGTTGTCTGATACCTTTGAACAAAACTTTTTTTATCAAATCATCTAGACTTTTCGCAGTTCCCTATTTTTCCGTAAGATCGTCGAGATCGAGCGCCATGCGTTGCGGGTGGCCATCATGTACTGAGGGGACAGGTGAAGGGGTTTACTGCCCCCCGCCCACTAAGAAGATTTGACGCTCATCCTAAGACAGACTCGGAACATTTGAAACCAAGTCGGCCGCCTGTAACGCAAACCCGTTCGATCTGGACGATCCTACGGCAAAAGAGGGGACTGGGACTGTTAAACCACTACAAATCATTTTCTGTGTCTATTTCTTTGTAGGAGAGGTAGTCAAACAGGTCAATCACATTATCAGATCCAAAATAGGCGGAGTAAGGTCCGAATACCTGGCTACGAAGGAGAAGAAACTCGAAAAAAGAAGGTCCTTTAAGTATTAATCCTCTCGCCGGGGTGGTTATGCAAATCAGAGTCAACTGGAATCAGTGGGTGTGTGAAGGAAGACCACCATTCTCCACTTTAGAAACGCGAGGGAACTGGAGACAGAATACGTCCCGCAATTGATTCTAGGATCGTTACTGGGGACGTGTCGGTCAGCTATTGGCCAATTTTTTCCTGTCCCCAGAATTCTTTGCGAAAGTTAACTCGGCTCAGTTTCCTTTTCGTTTATAAAGTGGCTAGTGGAAAGGAAATATCGCAATTGCTCCCTGGAGTAAGCTTGCTTTGCATGCGGCCATTATTTAAATCGTAACGCAACTCACCTACAAAAGGTGGTAAAACACTGCGCAACGGCTCGCCTTCCTCACTGAATTGTTTAATACGCGGATTTTTGCAGACGCGGATGATCCTTTTCCATCTACTCATAATGTTAATTGTAGGAAAGATAATCTCTGTGGAAAATTTCAACTTGAAAACAGATTCATACACTCCATTTCCGAGTTCCAAAAACTCTCACTTTCAAAACTAGGCTTAGTGCAAAAACCTTTGCTGTGAAAATGAGTTTTAATTTGCATGACAATGAAAAAGCATTTCCATATCAATGGCTACGCACTCAGCCTCGTTTTGAACAAAATGGCAAATGAAAACCGGAAATTAAAAATAGAGTCGTCTTGTATCCCCGTCCTCCAAATAACGTGAAATTAGGCAATTTCAAATCGTAGTCGTAAAGTGACGGCAAAGAAATTACTTAAGCTCGCTATTATATTAACCGTTTTCAGAAACTTTTAAGGATGATGACATTGATCCTAACAAATCGTGCATCATTCCTTTCTAATTTAAAATTAATATTTTCCGTGAGGTTTATTAATCGATTCGCCAGAAAATTCTACCTTAAGTCAGACTGTTATATGTCATTCAAGAATGATAATTATAGAAAACTGAGAACTTTTAATTTATAGGTTACAGGTGTACGAGGTTATCTGCATAATATTGTTTTTAGATTAAAGTTCTACCTTCTGCCAATTATTTGTCACCCAAATAAAAGTGCAATTCATAATACAAATCTAATAGCAAAAGTTACAGCACGTTTGGGGTTTTTATATGTAATAAAGGACAAATAATGACATCAAGAACGAATAAATCGGGAAAAAAACAAAAGTTTAGGTCAATCTATTAAATATGACACAGGAAAACCGTTATAACTTCCTGCACGATTCGTATGTAGACTAAAAAGGTCATGTCATTTTTCAAAGGCTGAATCAAGTTAGTAAATTTAACCTTCTTGAATCTGATTCTGACTTGCGAATATGTCACGCAGAATGTTCTTGATAGCGCATCGGATGTGTCTAAACTTCCAGCAGTTACCCAGAGGGACGAGGGATGAACTTAAATATAACAGCGTCCGAGTGTAAATTAAGAAATGTTCTCTCATTTTGTTCACCTGTCCGACCAGGATCACAGTAGCGATTGGCAAGTGGCAGGCTAAAAACAACAGATAGACTTAAAGTCTAGCCTTCCTGAATCTGATTCTGACTTGCGAATATATTGCGCAGAATGTTCTTGACAGCGCATCGGAGGTGTCTAAACTTCCAGCAGTAAACCAGAGGAACGAGGGGTGAACTCAAATATAACAGCGTATGAGTGTAAATCATCAAATGCCTTCCCATCTTATTCTTCTGTCGTCCGGTCAGGATCACAATATCGATTGGTAAATGGCAGGCCAGAAACAAGAGATAGACGTAAAATGTACCAACTGCTGTTTTTCTCAGTCTTTCGAAATTTGAGCGATTTTCTTCGTTTGGTGCCACTGCTTGGGCTGGCTGTGCATGAACTTGAACGGTGTGGCGACGTGCGGCTATGTAAATCTTGAAATAGATTAGACCCATGGTAAGGAGACAAACCAATCCCACAGTCACCGCTGCAAGGCTGCAGACATATCCACCGCTCAGAACACCGGTTAGAGCAAGGAAACCACTGAGAATCCAGCTTAAGATCACTGCAGCTACAACACGCTTGTAAGTCACAATTTCTTGGTAGGTGAGAAGTTCGTGGTGTTTGAGGTGAAGGTGGATAGCAAGGAATCTGTCAACGCTAATAGCTGTGACACTGAAGAATGAGGCATAAGCAAGGGTGCGTCCTATGACTCTTACTATTTTTTTATAAGTTTCTTGGTCGTTAGTGTTTTTCATGTCCATAATCATGCGAGCGATGTACAAAGGCTGGGCAAGTAATCCCACACCAAGATCAGAAATAGCCACGCTAAGGATCAATGCTTTTAGAGTCTTTGGCAGTGATGAAGTCCTTCTCAGCGCGAATATTAAGACGATGTTCAACATCACTGTTGCATAAGACAGGAAGGAATTGACGACGCAGTTTAGGACGAGGGAAAGAGTGAAATCTCTTGCCTCTGTCATTGTGTATTATAACTTCCTTTTTCCAAGAGAACTATAGCGGAGTTAGTAGGACGTTGGACGAATAGATCGGATGAAGGACTCTCCACGAATGCCGCTACTTTATTCCGCCTTTTCTCTTTAGAGCTGTTTAAAACCGGAGTCCAGGTGGCCTTGAAAGATGCAACGAGGAACTGTTTTAGGATCGAACGAATGTCCTAAAGATTGTCACGTGATGTAACCTTGCTGACGTTTTGAAACGTGTTGCGAACTGGGGTAAATTTGGACGTTAGAAATATGAAAACCTTTGAACGTCAAGGCAATTATATTAAAAGCACATTTCCAATAAACTTCCGTCCTGCAAAGGTGGTGTGCATTATCCAGTATTTTTTTTCCATGTTTTTTTTTCACATTTTGTGAAGTCGCATGGTTTTTATTAGCACAAAGTCAAAGTTAAAGCCCTTCCTAGAAGCCTCAGAAAAACGAATAAACGGGAAGATTTATTTAACTTCGTATTCTACATCAGTTTTGCTAGAGTTCTCTGTTTATTCTAGGGAAAGAAAATTACTGCTCGTCTTAAAAAAGGGGGAGATAGAGGGTTCCGGATTAAAAAATTTCCACGTCCACGCGTATCCGTATTTAAATCGAATTTTCCTACAGGTATCCGGATTCACTCTAGTTCGTAGGACTCCCCTGGGAATATTGGTAGCAGAGGGCTACCAGTGGGTTGATATATTGTTTGTGTGAATGCGTCATTTGAATTCAGCAATTTCCTTGTAATAAGCTCTTAAAGAAGATTTTTGTACCTCGCTACAATAACTTGTGTGGTGTCAAGGTTAAATTTTCTGGTAGTTTTCTTGTCCTTGTGCTTGTCAAAGTTAGAACACCTCCGGTTTTGAAATGTCGTTTCGCCAACAAGTTGTTTCGCCTACTCTGAGGTCGATTCGCCTGCAAGTTCTTAATTGATTGGCTTTATTGACGTTTTACATAATTTACAATCGTCGCTAAAGAAAAATTACAAAATGCGGCTGGATTTGCGATGGATTTTGTGATTTAATATTTTGCCATTTGCTCAGTCGATTAACTTGCGTGATCTACAAGTGGCCCAGACGTAGTATATGTCAAATGAATATATTAATATTCACGTGGACAAAATAGGATGAGTCGTCGAAACTTCCATGAACTAAAATAGTCCAAAAGTCAAAATATAACAAAACAAAGCTAAGATACCTTTAACTGAACGTATTCTTGTCTTTCCTGGCCGGTTTAAGTGGCATTTTGCTGAGTTTTGCAATTGTAGGTACTATCCACTAAAGAAGAATTAAAGGCTGGCTACAAAACAAACGGACGATCTCGACGCGCCTTCACACGAAGCGCTATAAATTCGAGAATAATCGACGAATCCGCTCCAAATTGCCATCAGCTAATCTGCAGGTAACGTGTGCTCCTGCTTCTTGCTCGCTGGCTCCACAAAACCAATCTCAACTGCACAAAAATTGCTCGCTCATCAACAACCACTGTTGACCTTTACGCTTCGATATGACCGCAAACTACCAGGTTTAATACGCGACGTGAATATTCAAGCTTAGCGACCGCGTTCGCGCAACAATGCAGCACTTGCTATGGGAGGGATTGTACTATTGCTTCTAGGTCAATCAATCGGAAATATAATATTGAAGCCCTTGTAATTTTTAAAAAGATCCAATTTGCCCGAGGATCACCGAACAGATACGAATTTTATAGCGGGGCTAAAAAAAATGAGCGGCAGTGGAAAAAGTGAACAAGAACATGTACCACATGGGCTCCTGACCACATTTCCTCCATAAAAAGTGAAAACCAGGAAGTTTTCTGGACGTTTCACGTTGCAGTCATGCAAATCAAAGGCAAGGAAATGTACAAGAAAGTGTGCTGCGATTAGACCTATTGTTGTTTTTCACAGTTCTGGTCAAGGGCATCCAACGTTTAATTTTTCACATTTCACTCACCGGGTTAGGCTATTTTTCGTAGAGAGTAAAAAGGAATCCTAAAATTTTAGGATTCAAAAATGTGATGAAAGAAGGAATCTGAACAATTATCTCCTTCGTAATACGTTAAATTGCATCTAAAATCTTCGGGAAAATAATTGTGAATTCCTCGTAATTTCGAAAAGACTCAAGTTCCTCTAGAATGGCCAAACGCTGAGATACAAATTTTATAGCGCCACTTAGAATGCATTTCTATAGAACGAAAAGTACTTTATGAATAGCTACAAAAGTGTTTTCAAAGTATTTGAGGAAACAGTCGTTGGGTGCCCCTGTTTCATTGCCTTCAGCCCCCGGTGAGTCCGCTTAGCATTACACGATATATTTTATATTTAGTATGAGCAAACTATAAAGCCCTCCTGACTAAATTTATGTAAGCGCTGTTTAGAATGCAATGTGATAGATTTTATTCGAAACCAATAGATCTCTACAGTAACGGGCTTCTATTCCGATACACTTGCCAAAAACGATAGGGTTCCACAAAAATAACGGGCTTCTAAACCGATACACGTGCCTTCAACAAAATTACAATTCTCTAAATCGAAAAACTACTCCGTTCAAAGTGTCACATGATCACGTGTTCGAAACGTGATCGGCTACATCTAAGGTCAAAAAATGTCACGCGCGAAAAGTAACACAAAACTCCGTGAC